AAAAAAAAAAAAAAAAAAAAAAGAACCAGAACCCGGGCCCTTTGCACAGAGCAGCACCTCCTTCTCTGCCAGGCTGCCCAGGCTGGGCTAAGACTTGGGATCCCTAGCCTCGGCCCCTGGGAGAGCCTGGGGTCCAGGCCTGGCTGATCTTTCTCATCTGTCGGGCACTAACACACATACCAGGAACTGAGCCACAGAGCATGCTGAAGGACCACTAAGGTCCCCTTCCGGCGTCAGTGCCGTTATTCAGTATGTTTGCAGCACTTGCAACCCTGCCCACCGTCGCGGAGATCATCTTTCCTCTTCGGAAAGGGAAATCGAGTGCCAGCTGTGGAGGCACATTCCTATAGTCCTAGCACTTGGGAGACTGAGGCAGGAGGACCTGGGAAGCTCAAGGTCAGGCTGGGCTACACTGTTACACCCAGAGGCTGGGGAGGTTACGGCGGCTTCCTGAGCGTTTGCAGTTCCAGATCCGTCCTGAGCCCTCTTGGCCTGAAGCGCACCCACCCGTGCTCTGCACCAGGGCTCTCAAGGCCCACGCTGGTCAGCTCTCGGGGTGAGCACAGGCGGCAGAGCTGCACCCAGCCCTGGCCGGATGCGCAGGGCCTGGGGCAGGAGCTCAGTGGCTGTCCTCATTTTACAGATGAGGACATTCATGTACATAGCAAAGGAGTCCACTGCTGGTGGGTGCTGTGCTGGGATGGGGACCGAGGCCCAGCTGGCCCAGGCAGGGGGAGGGGCAGGGCAAGGACTCCAGCACTTAAAATACAACTGGCGCAGGCGCGATGGTGATGCACACCCCTCCACCTGAGCCACTCGTCTGGATGTCAGGGACTCCCTTCCGGGCCTAGAGGAGAGGCAGGTGGATGGCGCGGCTGAGAACCGAGCTTTGGCTGACGCTGGTGATACACACTTGGATTCTCAGCCCTCTGGGAGGCTGAGGCAGGAGGATTGTGAGTTGGAGCCCAGCCTGGGCAATCTAATGACTCGGTGAGACGCTGGCTCAAAATGAAAAATAGGGCCAGAGATGTAGCTCGTTGGGAAGGCCCTGGATCTGATCCCCAGTTCCACCCAAAAAGAAAACATAAATAAATAGAATAGCAACAAAGCCCTGCTTCAGTGCTCACGTGACTGCGTCCAGTCTCTGTCGCTGTGGAGCTGGGCTGGTGTCTCGTCTTCCAAAAGTCAGCTTCCAGGGCACACCAAGCACCTGCTTCAAACGATGTCGTGGAACTTATGTGGAGGGGCCTGCGTCTGTTGGTTTTGCTACTCCTAGGAATAGTCTCAGGTTAGTCTGTAGGACAGGGCTTGGCAAACATGTTTTGTGAAAGGACAAATAACTGTTTATGCTGTGTGGGCCACATACATTATCTGCCATATATTCTTTGGTTTCTTTCCTTTTTTTTCTTTCAATTTTTACAATGCTGTAAAAATATAGAAACTACTGACAGTTCATTGGTGGAATACTTGCCCAGCATGCATAGTCCTGGGTCCTGTCCTCGGCATCTGAGGCTCTTATTTGCTCCAAAACTACTGTGTGTGTGTGTGTGTGTGTGTGTGTGTGTGTGTGTGTGTGTATGTGTGTGTGTGTGTTGGGTATTGAACTTAGGACCTTGTGCTTGCCAGGCAGGTGCTGTGCTCTGAGCCATATTCCCAACCCCTGTTCTGTTTTTGACATAGGGTCTTGCCATGTAGCCTAGGCTGGCCTCAACTCACGATGATCCTCCTGCTTCAGCCTCCCAAGTGCTGGGATGACAGGCGTGTGCCACCTTGCCTGACCTATATTGTAATTTTAAACTTTTGCATTCCCATTATATATTAAAAAAAAAAGGGCTGGGGAGATGGCTAAGTGGAAAAAGTGCTTCCCTGGCAAGCACAAGGGTCTGAGTTCAATCCCCAGTTCCGAAAAAAAAAAAAGATTCTGGAATTTGCTGCAGGAATGTATTTTATTTAACCCAAATATGCAAACTATTCCAACATGTTGCTGGCCATGGCGGTGCACACGTGTAATCCCAGAACTCAGGAGGCTCAAGCAGGAGATGGCTGTGAGTTTGACACCAAAGAGAAAAAAATTTAGACATTATGGGACTGGTCTGCTCTTGACTTTAGTGTTCTCATCTATAAAATGGGGTGATAATGTTCACTCCTGGTGCTTGGAGCTATTGTGAAACTACATTAGGATGTCAGGTTAGAAAGGGTATAGAGGGCCAAGGATATAGCTCAGCAGTGAATGGTCTGCCTGGCATGTCCAAGGTCTTGAGTTCGATTCCCGGTATCCGCCCAAAAAAGGGGGGCATAGGTTCGGGACATCCACACAATGGTGGCCACCTATGCACATGTCCTGGGGTGAGGAGCAGCACAGCTATTTGGGATATCAGTGTTATGAGGCCTTGAGTGTGTGCTGACGCTGGGAAGGTAGCAGTGTGGATGTTGGGGTCCCATAGATGAGGTCTCCTGGAGATGTGAGGCTCTGGCTGCTGGGCGCAGGTCAGCAGGTCAGCAGGGTGGCGGGTGGGGGCTGGGAGGTGGCCAGGCTTATACTGCCCTAGCCTCTGACCTGTGAGGGACTCCTAATTAATAGGACCTGCTAGCTTTTTTTTTGTTTCTTTTGAGACATAGTTTTGTTATGTTGCCCAGAATGGCCTTGAGCTCCTGGGCTCAAAAAAATCTGCCTACCTCAGCCTTCCATCAGTTGGGACTGCAGCCTTGTGTCCCCGTGTCTGGCTTGATTTTTTTGGCGTTACTCTGCCCGTGTGCTCCTAGCTGCTAGTTTAAACCCTTGTGCTTAAGCCACTTTAGCTTGTTACCATTCAAGCTCCCGCGAGAATCTGGTCCGGCTCAGCATTTGGGGCCAAGCTGGAGTTAGTAACGTCCCTCCCAGTCTATTGACCGATCTGTCTAGATCTCCTCCAATCAGCTGTGCCTTCCCTTGTGTGGAGATTGGGGGCTGCGCTGCGGAATTTAGCTTCACTACGATATGATGGACAGCAGGAGAAGGGCGGGGCTTGGGCACTGGCTGGCCCTGATTGGAGAATGGAAAGATGACTTCAGGGATTGGGCCTACAGCCTGGGAGTGAGCACCAGGAGGAAGACTTGTGCTTGAGGGCTAGGAGGGACTAGGAGGGACGGCATCCTGGGCCCCTTGAGAGGGAAGGGGCTTCCCTGCTGCTGGCCCCCAAAGTGCAGATGCCCAGGTATGAGAGTCTGGGCTTGGTCATAGTGGCTGTTTGTGGGGTGCAAGTGGAGGCAGAGGCTCTCTGGACCAGGCTAAGATGTCCCATTCCGGGCCTGGGACATTTTACAGCAGGCAGGATATGGTCTGAAACACACTTCACATTTGGACCTCTGGCCTGGCCTCTAACGTCACTGGGAGGACTGAGAACGAACCATGCGCTTTCTTCAAAGAACAGATTGGGGTCAACCTACCTGCATCCCCGTCTCATCCTACCTCGCCCCTTGTGAGCCTTTAGTCAAGATTTGGTTTTGTTTTATTTTTTCCTGTACTGGGGATTGAAACCAGGACTTTCACATGGAACTACAGCTCCATTCCTTTTATTATTATTATTATTATTTTTTATTTTGAAACAGTGTCTTGGGGGCCTGCCCCTTAGCTCAGTTCTTTAAGTGGCTGCTTCAACAAAGCTGTCAGGCTCAGGTTGCTGTGGTTCGAGCTCCACAACTCAAGCCAGCCAAACCTGCCCTGAAGGCATTGGAAGCAAAAAAAAAAAACACAAAACACAAAACGCTGGGGAGATGGCTCAGTGGAATAAGTGCTTCCCTGGCAAGCGCAAGGGCCCGAGTTCAATCCCTGGTTCTGCCAAAAAAAAAAAAAAGGTTTTTTGAAACAGTGTCTTGCTAAATCACTGAGTTGCCTGGGCTGGACTCAGATTTCCAGTCCTCCTGCCTGGCCTTCCAGAGTGCTGGAGTTCTATTTATTTATTTATTTATTTATTTATTTATTTTGTGTGTGTGTGGCCAGCTCAGCCCACCAGGGGGCGGGGCTGGCTGGCATGTGGTGCTGGGGGATTGAACCGCGGTCCCTGTGTTTTTGCTTAGCTTAGCTTGTTCTAAGTAGGTGCTTTAGACCACTGAGCCATCTCACCAGCCCCCTTTCATTTTTATTTATTTATTTATTTATTTATTTATTTAGTGTGTGTGTGAGTGCTGGAGTTCTAAGTGTGTATCACCACCTGGCTAGGCCGAGACCCTGCATGACCTCATTTTCAGCAGGTTATCATAACCCCTTCTTTGCACTGACCTGGCTGACCCAAGAGTCACAAAAATAATTCAGGGCGTGAGAGCAAGTTTCCCAAAACCTAAGTAGATGGCCATTAGCTGGCCTGTGGACCTCTTGGTCTAGGTGGTGGCAGTGACAGTCGTCATTAGGAGAACCTGTCACTCACTTCTGCTGAGAGCAGAGCTAAGGCAGTCATGACTAATCGATAGGAGTTACCATCTGAATCCTGTTGATCACTTAACTCCGGATTCTTCGAACATCGCAGACTGCCTTCATTCAGTTATCTCTGCTTTGTCACACTGTGGGGCGGGGGCCATTTCCTACTTTGTCTTTGTTACTTGTGCTTACAGTTTGAGGGCCTCTCCACTGCCATGGTTTCCACCATGTCCAGGGAATTAAAATTAATCCATTTATTATTTGTGCTGTTACTTTTGGTGGCCACTCCAGGCCCCTGTGCTGTCTTGTCCCCTTCGCTGCGGAGGGTTGGATGCTGAATCTGAGTCCCATGTGTGGGTCGCTGGTGCTGAGACCTTGGGGCTCACTGTGTGCAGAGTCTTCCCATCCTCTATCCTCCCTGATGTCGTAGGGGTGGCCATGAAATGGCCTCAGGAACCTGTTACAGTCTGTTCTTGGCATATGCTGCAGACTGGCTGTATTGGTTTGTCACTTGTCACCTGTGTCATGAAGGGAGCATCTTGGTGAGTAACTTAGTCTCTTTGGGCTGCTGTACTAAAACACCATTCTGGGTGGCTTTCAAACAACAGATATTATTTCTTACACTCTGGGAGCTGATCCCAGCCAAGCCGGGCGTGGTGGCCCACACCTGTAATGCTGATACTTTTGAGGCTGAGGCAGGAGGATCTGTCAGGTTCAGACTCAAGACTGGGAAATTTCAATTTAGAGATTTAATAATGAGACCATATCTCAGAATAAAAAAGGACTGCCGATGTCGCCCAGTGCAGAGGCCCTGGATCTCATCTCCAGTGCTGGGAAACAGAAGTGCCAGAGAGTTCAATGTCTGGTGAGGGCTGCTTCCGGTTGCCGTGTGGCACCTTCTCGCTGTGCTCCTGTGGAGTAGAGGAAAGGGAGCAGCCTCTAGACCTGAGAGCCTTCCAGTGCCATTGCACGGACGTTTAAGGACTTGCCTGCGACACGTATGCACAGAGCTTGGCCAGCAGTCTTGTTCACAGTCTCATATCTCTGTGTCCCGAAAGGACTCATCGCTGATGAGTAGTGGACAGGTGCTCAGCACGCAGCCTCACTTTAGGTCCCTAGGAAGCAGTTCTGTGACACATAACGGTGCAGGCCAATCAAGACTGGGAGGAGGATAAGGCCAGGGTCGGGCTGGGTCCTGGGCTGAGGCTGTCATGGTGCCAGAAGGTACTTGTCACTGGTGGTTGGTGCTTGTTGGCAGCTCTGCCTTTTCTTAGTGGGGGTGGCGACCCAGGGATGGGGGTGCGAGGGCAGGAGCAGAGGCTGACCTTGTGGCCCCTATGCCCTCTTCTTCAGCTGGCGCTGCAGACGGGGCGTGAACCCCCACCCATCTGGCGCGTGCAGAAGGCCCTTCTGCAGAAGTTCACTCCCGAGATCAAGGACGGCCAGCGACAGTTTTGTGCCACCAGTAATGTAAGCCTGTGAGGGGCACATGGACTTGTACACACCAGGGAGGGTGTGGGGCTGCGTTCTTTGTGCATGGCTCTGAAGAGCCATCTTTGTGGTACAGTGTGCCAGGATGCTGGGCACGGTGGCGCTTGCCTATAATCTCAGCACTCAGGAGGCTGTGGCAGGCTCCAGGTGGCTGCCTTGGAGTCCAGGGCCAGTGATACACTGTGGGGAGGGTGACACCCTTTCTCATGCCTCCTTCTCTGCAGTATTTGGGGTACTTTGGGGATGCAAAAAATCGCTACCAGCGTCTGTATGTCAAGTTCCTGGAAAACGTCAACAAGAAGGATTACGTGAGGGTGTGCGCTCGGAAACCCTGGCACCGGCCCCCAGTGCCCGTGAGGTACCCATGCAGGGGGCATAGAGGGCCCATGGCAGGCGTGTCCCACAGGCATGGGGCTAGAAGGAGGGCAGGAAGGCTGGTGGTTGGAGATGGGCCAGTGCCGAGCCAGGCTGGTGCAGAGGTGGTAGAGGAGGTATTCTGTGTCAGGGCCCGGAGCAGGCCATGCCTGCAGGATGTGGGTCTCCCAGGGGCTGCTGATTACCATCCTCTCTCGTTGTTCCCACAGGCGCTCTGGACAGGCCAAGGGACCCCCATCTGCACCTCCTCCCAAGACCGCCGCACCACCACCCAAGCCTGAGCCACCTGAGAAGGCGCCATCAGAGAAGCCCCCAGAGCAGATGCCTGAGACAGCTGTCCCCGAGCCTCTGGCCCTTGAGAAGCCATCGCCACCACGGCCGGTGGAGAAAGAGAAGGAAAAGGAAAAGGAGAAAGAAAAGGAAAAGGAGAAGGAGAAGGAGAAGGAGAAGGAGAAGGAGAAGGAGAGGGTGACACGAGGGGAGCGGCCAACACGGGGCGAGCGGGGCGTAGGTGGGCGGCAGACCCGGCCCGAGCGCAGCCTCACCATGGCCCAGCCCCCCACCACTCGGCCCCCCAAGGCCCGGCTGCCCAAAGTGAAAGCTGAGCCACCCCCGAAGAAGAGAAAGAAGTGGCTGAAGGAGGCGGTGGGCAATGCCTCATCAGGTGGGGGGCCAGCAGGCAGCTCCTCGGACTCAGATTCCTCACCTGGAGCTCCCAGCGAGGATGGTGAGGCTGCAGGGAAGGGGACATCGGGGGACTGCAGTGGCGGCATGGGCAAGGGATTTGGGTCTTTGGAAGCCCTGTGTCACTGGAGGGTTCCATGTATGTAGCAAGACACAAAAAGAAAAATGAACTAAAGTAAGAACAAAAGCTAAAAACCAGCACTGTGGGAGGCTGAGGCAGGAGGAATCTCAAGTTTGAGCCCAGGCTGACCAATTTAGTGAGACCCTGTCTCAAAAGAGTGCTGAGGATTTACTCAGGGCAAGCCCCTGACTGAATACAAAAACACCTCAGCCGGTTTTTTTTGGGTACTGCTTGATGCTGATTAACTTGCTATATTTTCACAGTGGTCCTGAGAGGCCACCCTGGTGTGTTGGCCTGGTGTACAGGTGAGCCCCCCGGGCCACAGCGGCCATGCCCAGGCCCTGTCCAAGGGCACTGCGCTCTTTGGTGCTGTCAGGCAGCCCTCTCCTGAGGGCTGAGGCAGAATGGACCAGCCTCGGTCCTAGGCCTGGAGAGAGGTGCTTTGTGTGACTTGCTGGGCGACCAGAGGACAGGGCCTGACCTCGGCCATAGCCAGTGCTCCTGCATGATGAGCACACAGATGAAGCTCCTAAAGAGTGCCTGTCTGGAACAGGACCAGAGGGGAGCCCCACGCCTGCCTGGTACACGGTGTGTCTCCAGCCCTGAGAATGACATCTGGTTGGTGGTGACAGTGACAACAGATTATATACCCATTATACATACGTAAAGTAAAGTAGCAGCAGACTTTTATGGAATATCTACCATGGGCCACGTATCATCTTAGGCATTGACTGAGTTCAGCTTTATCTAAGCCCTCTGAGGTAAGCGCTACAGAATTAGCCTCATTTTATTTTCTTTATTTAAGTTTGGTTTTCTGAGACAGGGTCTTGCTATGTAGCCCAGGCTGCCCTTGAACTCACTGTGATCCTCCTGCCTCAGCCTCCTAAGTACTGAGATTATAGGCGTGTGCCACCAGGCCCATCTCATCCTCATTTGAAAGATGAAATTGAGGCTTGAGAGGTGACAGGACTTGCCCAAGGCCCCACACTCCATAGGTACAGAGTCTGACGATACACCGAGGAGAGTGGAGACAGGTGGAATTCTCTGAGGGAGCGGAGGGCCCATGGGATTCCGAGGCTCTTCCTCAAGGTTGTCGGGAGGCTTAATTAATGCCACGCTGAGCGGGGCAAACAGAGTTCACTGGCCCAGATGTTCTCTGTCCTCACTCAGGCTCGGCGCTGGTGAGACCTTGTCTGAGCCGTTCCTGGTCCCCAAGCTGAGCTGCTTGCTCACAACAGGCTGTGGCCCTTTCTGACTGGGTGGGGGTTCTCTCTTTGACCCTGCTGTTGACAACAGTGTTTGCCGTGCAGGTGGCCCTAGAGAAAGAAGGAATCACAAATCTGTGCCCCATCTTCCCCCAGAGCGGGCAGTACCGGGGCGTCTGCTAAAAACTCGGGCCATGCGGGAGATGTACCGGAGCTATGTGGAGATGCTAGTGAGCACGGCCCTTGACCCAGACATGATCCAGGCCCTGGAGGACACGCACGGTGAGCTGGCATCAGCAGAGGGCGCCTGTGCAGGAGGAGGAGGCTGGGCCTGGACCTCTGGCCCGAGGGAGCCTGGGCCTGGACCCCTGGTGGGAGGCAAGAAGTTACTTGGGCTCTCTATTCTCCGCCCCCGGCATTGGGGAGCTATGGCCCTGACACCTCCTCTCTTCCAGATGAGCTGTACCTCCCACCCATGCGGAAAATTGACGGTCTCCTCAATGAGCACAAGAAGAAAGTCCTGAAGCGGCTGTCGCTAAGCCCAGCCCTACAGGTGCTTGGGGGCTCGGGCAGGGAGTATCTGGGCCCCAGGCTCAGGTGTGGAAGTGACTTGTAGGTGTCCCGTAAGCACATGAGGATACTCCCTGTGTCAGGAGGGGATCATGCCCCTGGACTCTATTGGGAGGAAAACTGAGAATTGAGGGGTCCCAGACTTTGCCTCTTCCTTGAGGCCCATGCTCCTTGCAGTGGTGTTTGGGGTGGCGGGGCTGGCAAGGCTTGGTGAAGAGCAATTGTCGAACATAAAAGGAGACACGCTACCTTAGGCTATGCGCTTGAGAAGCATCCTGGGGCAGACTTGCCCGTGACTCCTCCGTCTGCCTGAGGGCGGCTCAGTGGCTTCTCAGCTTCGGGTGAAGTCATTTGTCTGTGTACTGTTCCCTCTGGAGAGGCCTAGGATGTTGGTGGAGCATTGAAGGACAGCTCTGAGAATTCTGGACAGTGTCACCCAGCTCTGAGGATCCTGGTTGGGATGTTACCTGGTTCTGAGAGTGAGTCATGCTTAGTGGCACTCACTGGGAGGCTGAGGCAGGAGGAGTGAGTGCTTGGAAATAGCCTGGGCAATTTAGTGACTTAGCAAGAGCCTGTCTCAAAGACTAGAGAGGACTGTGGCTGTAGCTCAGGGCAAAGCCTCTGGGTTTAGTCTTTTATTTATTTGTGTGTGTGTGTGTGTGTGTGTGTGTGTGTGTGTGTGTGTGTGGCCAGCTCAGCCCACCAGGGGGCGGGGCTGGCTGGCTTGTGGTGCTGGGGGATTGAACCGCGGTCCCTGTGCTTTGCTAAGCTTGATTCTAAGTAGGTGCTTTAGACCACTGAGCCATCTCACCAGCCCCTGGGTTTAGTCTTTATGATTTAAAAAAGATATTAGGGGAAGTGGCTCAGAATTCTGGGGTAAAGTGTTCATCTGACTTTGAGAATTCTGGGAGGATGTAAATGTGAAAGGAAGTTGTGGGATGTATTTTAGGGTGGGTCTGTGTCTAAGTTCTTGGTGCGGTGTTGAGTTGGAGCTCAGCATTCTGGGATAGAACATTAAGCTGCTTGCTGGTGCCTAGTGGTGAGTTCATCTAACTCAGAAAATAACGGGGTGGGATGTTACTGTGGTTCTGAGAATTCAGAGGAAGGGCTTAGATGTGTGGGTGGGGTGATAGGATGACTGAGGGCTCTGGAATGGATACTAGGCTGGTGCCAAGAATTCTAGGGTAGATTGTTAATGCTGGTTTTGAAAATTCTGGGACGTAGTGTTAGGTGGCTTGGAGAGTTGGCCTTTGAAGAATTGGAGGATGTTGATCTGGTGTAAAGGATCAGGGACAGCTCACAGTGGAATAAGCACTTCTATGGCAAGTGCAAGGGCCTGAGTTCAAACCCCGGTTCTGAAAAAAAAAAAAAAAAAAGAATCAGGGAGAGATTGTCAGGCTTCTGCTAGGAGTTCTGGGTAGAAATTCATGCCGAACAACTTTGAGAATCCCCTGCTTAGGGTATGGTTATGTCTAGCCTCGTCATTAGTATGAAAATACTGTATGTAGTTCAAATACATTCAGTGCACCCGAAACCCAAAGATCATAGCTAAGCAACACAGCCCACTTAGTAGCGTCAGTTGTTGCCTGCCCGTTGCTTATTTTGCAGTGTTAGGAATTGAACTTGCTGCCTTGTCACTGAGGTACATCCACAGCCCTTTGTAATTTTTATATTTTGAGACAGGGTTTTGTTAAATTTCCCAGGCTGGGCTTAAGTTTGCACTCCTCCCGGCCTCAGCCTCCTAGAGTGCTAGGATTGTGGGCGAGCGCACATTGTTGCCACTTAGGACCTCAGGGCTGACTGAGGATTGTGACCACAGTTGGTAGTCTGAGAAACTACTCTCAAATTCAGTTTCAAATACAAATGGGGGTACATGCCTATGATCCTAGCACCCTGGTAGCCTGAGGCAGGAGGAGTGTAAGTTTGACCCAAGCCTGGACAATTTAGCTGCATAGCAAGACCTTGTGTCAAGAAAAAAAAAAAAAAAAAAATTAAGGTTGGAGATATTGCTTAGTTCTTAGGCTCTGGGTTCAATCACCAGTACTGAGAGAAAAAAAGGAGAGAGAGGAGAAATTAAAAAAAAAACTGCTAAGTACAGTGTCTACATCCTACCATCATAAAGTAAAGAAATACAAGAGGTCCAAGCCAGGTATGATGGTGCACACCTGTAATCCCACCCCTTGGGAGGCTGAGGCAGGAGGATCACCATAAATTCCAGGCCACTTTGGACTATGGAATGATATTGTTTTTTGCTCGCAATGCCTTCAGGGCAGGTTTGGCTGGCTTGAGTTGTGGGGATCGAACCACAGCAACTTGAGCCTGACTGCTTTGTGGAAGCAGCCACTTAAAGAACTGAGCTAAGGGGCAGGCCCCACTGGACTATGGAATGATATTCTGTCTCAAAGAAAGGACAAAACAAATCACTAAGTGACAAATAGCATGTTGCAGTTTGCCTGTGTGAAGTATTAGGATTGGTCTGAGATTTATGGGTGAGGATGTTAGAAAATTCCGGTATTGATTGGCATTGAGGTTGTTAGGATAAGTTTAAATCTATTCCTGGAATTATGGTTGGAATGTTAGGTTGGCACTGAGATTTTGGAGAGAGTTGGTTGTTTATTTATTTTTGTTTTTCTGATACAGGGTGTTTGTAGCATAGGGTGGCTTGAACTCGTGATGATCCTCCTGCCTCAACCATCCAAGGCTTCAGGGATGGGATTTCGGCTGGTGCTCAGAATTCTGGCATTTGAGTTTAGGCTGCCTCTAAGAATCCTGGGATAGGACTATATCCCCGAGATGGCCTCAAATTTATAGTGTCCTTCCTGTCTTAGCCTTCTGACTGGTGGGTTACAGGCGTGTGTCACCACACCTGGCTCAAGATTCTCTGTCCTCTGAGGAGAACCAAACCCGAGTGTGTCCTGACCTGCAGCCTGTGGGAAACTGAGGCACGTCATGCCAGGCTATGGGGGGGTTCGGGCGGGTCCAGGGAGCCCCCGCTGACCCCCAGCTTCCTGCAGGATGCCCTGCACACGTTCCCACAGCTGCAGGTGGAGCAGAGTGGGGAGGGCTCCCCTGAGGAGGGCGCCGTGCGGCTGCGGCCAGCCGGGGAGCCCTACAACCGCAAGACCCTGAGCAAGCTCAAGAGGAGCGTGGTGCGAGCCCAGGTGGGCGCTGGGTGGGGGCTGCTGGGGGAATGGGGGCGACCTGGGAAGCCCAGGGTCTGAGCATCTCTACTCCTGTGCCCAGGAGTTCAAGGTAGAGCTGGAGAAGTCCGGATACTACACCCTCTACCATTCTCTCCACCACTACAAATACCACACCTTCCTGCGCTGCCGGGACCAGGTGAGCCTCCCGGGACCCTCACCTGGAGGTGCCCCCCCTCCGTGCGCACGCTCAGGACCTAGGAATCCAGGCCCAGCTCTCCCTCAGACCTGGATCCAGGCCTGGCCCAGACCTGGCCTCTTCCCTCAGACCCAGGGCCCAGGCCCAGCTCTCCCTTAGCCCCGGGTGTAGCTCTCATCTCTTCTGCCCTGGGAGGCAGGTCCCTGGCTAAGCCCCCTCTCAGAGGCTGGTTGCAGCCCCCAGCACCCTGTCTAACCCCTGCAGACCCTGGCCATCGAGGGAGGCGCTGAGGACCTGGGCCAGGAGGAGGTGGTCCAGCAGTGCATGCGGAACCAGCCGTGGTTGGAGCAGCTCTTCGACTCGTTCAGCGACCTGCTGGCCCAGGCCCAGGCCCACAGCCGCTGTGGGTGACCCCAGCCCCAGGGCCACCTCCTCCGCACTCATGATCGATGGAGATTAGAGAATTGGGACAGAACTGTCTCCTCAGGAGCTCGGCCCTGGGCTCCCTCGCTTTGGGGAAGGGGGTGTCACTGGTCAGGGTGTGTCTGTGCTGCCCCCCAGGGCAGGGTTCAGAGCGTGACTCCTCCTTCTCCCCAGCCCTCTCTCCCTGCCCCCTTCCTCCGCTGTTCGGTGTACAGAGAAATTATTTATATATATGTATAAATGTCTATTTAGTAACGGTTTCCCTTGCCCCTCTGCCCATCCCCCCTCCATGGCCATAGCCCCCCCACCTTGTACATAATGTATAGGAAAAGTCTATGTATGGTTGCAGGGGGGTGGAGTGGCTTCAGAGAGCTGGGGGACCCCTCTCCCTCCCCAAACCCCTAGGCCAAGATCTTTGCTAACGGCCATTCCTTTCCCTAGGGCATTTGGCGTCGGGTGGGAGGGGAAAACGCATCTTGTTAATTATTTTTAATCTTATTTATTGTACATACCTGGGGCTGGGGAGGTTGGGAGGTAGAGGGGGAAGGGTCCCCTCCCTCTTCCCACTCCTTTTCTACGGCAATTTGTCTGTCTGATCCCCTCCCTCAGCCCCCTCCCCTTGTCGTCTGGATGTGGTTCTATTTTTTAATCGGCCCATTCCCTGGCTTCCCCCTCTGTCCTGTGCCCCCACCCTCCCTGTATCCCTCGTCTCCTACTCTTTCTTGGGCATCTACAACTCACCTTGTATACACTGTGTACACAACCAGCCAAACGAAACCCAGCGGCAACACTTTACTTGCGGGCTGGAGTCCTCTGTCCTTCGGCGTGGGGTGGCCAGAGATGGGGACAGAGGGTCTGGGCTTGGGCTTTTCTAGAGCCCTAGAGGGAGGTGGTCTGTAGTCAGGTGTGGGCTAGGTGTGTTGACAGCCTAAGTGCCACATCTCAGAACTTAATAACTGCAGAGCAACAATCACTGATTGTCTTAGTTTCCTTTTTTTTTTTTGTTTGCAGAACTGGGGATTGAACTCAGGCCCTTGTGCTTGCCAGGCAAACGGTTATTCTACTAAGCTATCTCCCTGGCCCCTCTTTTTTTTTTTTTTTTTAATCTTGGGACAAGGTCTCACTGTGTAGTTCAGGCTGGCCTTGAGCTCTGTAGAGACCAGGCTACTCTTGAACTTGTAGCAATCTTCCTGCCTCAGCCTCCTGAGTGCTGGCATTTCGGGTGTTTGCCACCATGCATGGCTTAGCTTGTTTCTGAAGAGGAGGAGTTTGGGACTCAGCAGTGCTGAGTCTTGGATCTATCATGGAACAAGAGTAAAGATGCCTCAGTAGGCTGCAGGCTGTGTCAGGCTCGAGGATTCAGCCCGCTGCCCTCGCGCCTCTGCATGGAGCTGCTTCGGCATCTTTGCACCATGGCTGAGGCCAGGGAAGAAGCCATGAACATGAGGCCGGGCCAGATCTTGGCTGCAGTTTACCCCTGCTTCTGCTGCACTTGGCTAGTAGCCACTAAATTCAACTCACTTGCATTAAGAAGGAAATTAATCTCCATTTCTTGAAGGAAAAATGTGTGTGTGTGTGTGTGTGTGTGTGTGTGTGTGTGTGTGTTGGGAATTAATTGAATCCAGGGCCTTCATACCACCAAACTACTTCCTTAGACCTTTGTAAAACTGTTTTAAAACAGTTAAAGGGGGCCGGGAAGATGGCTCAGTAAATAAATGCTTCCCTGGCAAGCGCAAGGGCATGATTTCAATCCCCAGTTCCGCAAAAAAAAAAAAAAAAAAAAAAAAAAAAAGTTAAAGCACATTGAAATTGGGTACAGCGGTCTGTGCTTGTAATCCCAGTTAACTCAGGAAGCCAAAAAGCAAGAGGATTGTAAGTTTGAGGCCAGCCTTGGCAGTTTAGCAAGACAGTGTCTCAAAAAGGGCTTGGGATGTTGCTTGGTGGTAGAGCACCTCGGAATTCCATCCCCAGTACCTCAAGAAAGAAAAGCAAATTGAATTTTGAAAACTCAGGTTATGGAAGCCAGATGTGAAGGCACAAACCTATAATCCCAGCACTTGGGAAGCTGAAGCAGGAGGGTCACTATGAGTTTAAGGTCAGCCTGGGCTACATAATGAGACCCTGTCTGGAAAAACAAACAAAAAGGGCCGAGGAGATGGCTCAGTGGAATAAGCGCTTGCCTGGCAAGCAGAAGGGCCTGAGTTCAATCTCCGGTTCCACCAAAAAAAAAAAAAAAAAAAAGGAAAAAAAATGGGGTACCCCTGTGATTTCAGCATTCTGGGAAACTGGGTCAGGAAGAATATGAATCTGAGCCCAGCCTAGGCAACTTCTCAAGAACCTGTTTCAGGGGCTGGGAAGATGGCTCAGTAGAATAAGCGCTTCCCTGGCACGCGCAAGGGCGGGGATCAGTTTCAGAATGGAGATGAAAGCGTAGAATCGTGCCCAGCCTATGTAGCTGGGAATAGGCCATGTTCATTCCAGGACCCTGTGCTGTCCGAAGGTGCACACCCTGGCTTCGACCCAGTGTTCCTGGTTCCCTCCTGGTGAGATGGATAAAGAAAAGAATTTTTTTTTTGGGGGGGGGGGCTCTGAATGCCTTCAGGGCAGGTTTGGCTGGCTTGAGTTGTGGGGATCGAACCACAGCACCCTGAGCCTGACTGCTTTGTTGAAGCAGCCACTTAAGCTGAGCTAAGGGGCAGGCCCCCGAGAGAAGAATTTTTCTTCTTTTTTTAAACCTTTTATTTATTTTGCACAGGGTATCTTTATGCAGCTCAGACTCGGTGATCCTCCTGTCTCAGTCTTCCCAGCACTGGGATTACAGGTGTGTGCTTGGTTTTGGTGGCCAGCAGGCATGCAGTACTGGGGACAGACCCTGGGGCCTTGTGCTCACCAGGGGGAGTGGGGGATAAGACCTGGGAGCTAGCTCTCCAGGCCAGACTTTTTTGGTGGAACCAGGGATTGAACTCAGACCATTGTGCTTGCCAGGGAAGCGCTTATTCCACTGAGCCATCTCCCCAGCCCCAGAATTTTTCTTTTGAGATAGAAACTCAGTAGTTCAGCCAGGCCTTGAATTTGCAGGAATCCTCTTGCCTCAGCCTCCCTGAGGCTGTGCTGGGATTACAGGTGCAGCTACTACACCTGGTGGGGGAAAAAAAAAAAAAAAACAATTTACAATACTTCTGAATGTTGTGCAGATCCACAGGTACCAGTTTCTTTCAGAGTGGAGGATGGAGAATTAAGAACTATAGTTTCAGGCGAATCCCTGGGTTTGGGGGTGTGTCCAGTTGTCCCGTGTGCAGTAACAGCTCTTGGTGGGAAGCGACAGCCTCTAGTTTTTGGACTGGGCTGTCAGTGTGGGCTCAAGGATGCCTGTATTGGCATTGTCTGTCCCAAGTCAGAGTCCAGCGTTGGAGGCATGGATATCCCCAGAATCCATGGCAGGGATGAGAGCAGGAAAAGGCTGGCTGGCCATTGGGCCCCAGCTGCCTGAATTTCAGCTTGGGCTGCAACACTAACCGTGCAAGGTAGGCGTGGTGCTGCTTGCCTGGAAATCCAGAGCTTGGGAGGTGAGATGGGTGTCAAGGCCAGCCTGGACTACAGGGCCAGACCCTGCCTTAAAAAACCAAAAAGATGGCTAAAGACAAGGTCATCAAAACGGGGAGAGACTTAAGTGTCCCGAGGCCTTCCTGAGCCCAAGGAAGTAGCAGTGTCCCATGGATGTCCTCACAGGTGGTACGACATGAAGCAGGGAGGTGCCAGCCCCCTCACTGTCATCTCCTGAGCTTTGGAATGGCAGTGGCTTGCACTTCCAAAAATGCCGGACTGGGGAGATGGCTCAGTGAGATAAGCGCTTCCCTGGCAAGTGCAAGGGCCTGAGTTCAATCCCTGGTTCCATGGGGGGGGGGTAAAAATGTTCCCCTGCCAGAAAAAAAAAAAAAAAAAATTCTCCTGCCAGTTGTTCCATGGGCTTTGCTTCTCCAGTACACCAAGAACTTGTCACTTTCTCCCTGTATGTTGTGTACCGGCACAAAGCAAATGTCCCCGACCTAGAAGCTCAGGATGATCGGGAAAGGCCTGGCCCGCCCAGCCTGTGTCCAGCAGGGACCCTGGGAATCCTAACTGTGGGGTGTACAGCATCGCCGGGGCGGGAGCAGGCTGAAAAGCCAGACCTTGTCTGGCATCTGGTGGAAGCATTGTCCCAATCTCTGCTCTCCCCCCGCAGCAGGGCTGGGCGGCTGCTTGTGCAGGCGGAAGCAAATGTAGCACAATGCATCCAGCCACCCTTATTCCCAGGGCGGAAAGTTGAACGCAGGCCAAGGATTCTGTGATAATGAAAGCCGGAAAGGGATCCTTGGTAATCAGTGTTCTCCTGTGGAGCACAGAGGGGCATTCATGGTTCTGGGGCAGGACGGAACAGCCTGCTCAGGTCACAGATCCTGTGCCCTGGGGCATGCCCTGGCAGCCTGCAGCTCCTCTGCCCTCTCCCAACCTGTGATTGACTCCTCCTCCCCGGGAGACTGGAGGCCTCAGCCCTGGGATCCGAGGACAGTTCAGGTGAGGGTTTTAGCCTGGTGTGTTGAACAGCTGTCAGAGTTCAAAGGGGTGGCTGATAGCTAGGCCCAAGTGTACACCTGTAGTCCCTGCACTTAGGAGGCTGAGGCAGGAGGATCCTGAGCTATATAGACTATGTAGCAAAAAATAACCCACAGTGATGGGTCCGGTAGAATTGGGAGGTTTCTAGTAGTTTCCAGTTCTGGATCCAGCTTTCCAGGGTAGTAAATGACAGGATTTTTTTTTTTTCAACAAATAATACACTGCATATATTCTTCTTAGTGGTTAATTGCTGTACAAGATGCAGACTTGTGACCATACTTACAAACACCATTAGAAAAAATCATTCTATTCATTAAGAGAATGCAACTCTATATCTATCAACAGTCAGGATTTTGATTTTTGATTTTTTTTTTTAAATCCTTTTGAGACAGGGTCTTGCTATGCATTTTGGGCTGGCCTTGAGCTCACTATGTACCCCAGGCTGGTCTCAAACTCACAATGATCCTGCCTTGGCCTCCCGAGTGCTGGGATTACAGGTGTGCACTACCATGCCTGGCTCAGGATTTTGATTTTTTTTATTTCATATGACATGTTCCAGACATCAGCTTTGGTCAGCAAAGGCCAGAAGTCTCCCTATGTCCTACCCCACATTTTCAGCCCTTAATTCAATTCAGGAATTGTTTCTTTACAACAGGGTCTCACTATGTAGCCCAGGCTGGTCTCAAACTCCCGGCGATCCTCCTGCCTCAGCCTCCTGTGTGCTGGGATAACAGATGTGTGCCAACAGCCCCCATGGTGCCAGGCCTCCTAGGCACTCTCAGGGACTTGCCAGGTGCTGCTTGAGCACCATTCTGCCCACCTGTGCCTCCAGCCAGGGCCCTTACTGCGAGTGCACTGGCGGTGGGAGAGCCGGCGGCCATCCATCTGTATAGCAGTGCAGTTGGCCTTTGTACAGCACTAGGATGCCATGGATTTACCCTGCCCGGCAAGAAAACCACTGGCTGGGGCCAGGGAGATAGCTCGGTAGACTAAGCGCTTGTCTGGCAAGCGTAAGGACCTGAGTTCAATCCCCAGTTCCACAAAAAAAAAGAAAGAAAACCACCGGCCCTGTGCTGCTGTTATACTCTTAAAATGTGTCTGGTGTTCCCAAGGAGCTTAGTTCTTTGCAGAGGGGACAAGATTTTTTTTTTTTTTAAATGAGCAGAATATATTTATTGAGAGAAAGAAAGATCCTGTCTGAGAGAGGGACAGGAGGGGGGGGGGCTGAGTGGATAATTCCCCAGGAACAAGTTTCTTTTTTCTTTTTTTTTTGTGGTACCCGGGATTGAACTCAGGACCTTGCACTTGCCAGGCAAACGCTTATTCTATCTCCCCAGCCCCAGGGACAATTTTCTTGCAGACACCTCACCCCACCTGCAACACATCCACCCAAATAGCAGAGGGCAGAGCCATGCTGTTGGGGGGGCGGTCTGGATGCCTGCTCGAGTTTGTGTCCTTGCCCCTTCCCGAGAGGTGGATAGGTTCAGGAAGGTACACCGGTTTCAGACAGGCTTTTGAGTGCGCACCCCAAACCTACTCAGCGTTTCTCTCTCTCTCTCTCTCTCTTTTTTTTTTTTTTTTTCCTGTATTTAGGAGAGGGTCTCACTACACAGATCAGACTCAGTGATTCTCAGGGGCTGGGCTTGAGCTCACTATGTACCCCAGGCTGGTCTCAAACTCACAATGATCCTGCCTCAGTCTCCCAAGTGCTGGGATTACAGGTGTGCACCACCACGCCTAGTCTCAATTGCTGGCTCAGCGTGCCCCGGGGGCTTGGCCAGCACGACCAGCTGGGAATGGAACCCTGGCTGGTGCGCGCTGCCTAAACAGGCGCTTTAATCTGCTGAGCTATCAGGCCAGCCCAGTGTTTTCCTTTTATTTTATTTTATTTTTATTTTTTGGCAGAACCGGGGATTGAACTCAGGCACTTGTGCTTGCCAGGCAAGCACTTATTCTACTGAGTCATCTCCCCAGCCCCCCCAGCGTTTTCCTTTTAAAAAACATCTCCTGAGCCAGGTGTTGTACACACCTGTAATTTGAGTACTTGGGAGGCTGAGGCAAGAGAATTGCCCTGAGTTTCAGGCCAGCCTTCGATACATAATGAGTTCAAGGACCTAACTGCCTGAACTACATATGGAAACCCTGTCTCAAAAACAAAACAGGCTGAGGAGATGGCTCAGTGGAATAAGTGCTTCCCTGGCAAATGCAAGGGCCTGAGTTCAATCCCCAGTTCTGACAAAACAAAACAAAAAGGTATTTCCTAAAGTTGGCAGTGATGTTTATTTTTCTGAGGGAAGGGAGTTATGTACAGCAGTGACCTGGGACCCCCCTCACCACCAGAGGCTTAGGTGGGGAAAGGAGGTGTTGGCTGAAGGCACACAGCGGCATGGCCCAGAGGAGGCCAGCAAGTCAGGGTGAGGGTAGTGTGTCCTGGGAGACCCAGAAAAGGAAACTGCTGGGGCCTCAGGCTACATGGCAGGGTGCGAGGCAGCTGGTCCCCCCAGTTTGTGCTGGTCACTTCTCTGGGCTACAGCAGGACGCAGGGGCAGCCCCCATCCTTCTTCCTGGGGGCAGTGGGTGGGCTGGGTGGGAGCTCTTGTTCCTGGTACTTCCTGTGGAAAGAGGCCAAAGCCAGTGACACCGGGCTGGAGGTGGAAGGACAGGCCAACTTAGGGCAGGGGACTCACCGGACAGCCCGCACCAGCTGCTCGAAGGCCTCGTCCACGTTGAGCCGCAGTTTGGCTGAGGCTTCAAAGTAGGCCACATGATGGGAGGCACCAAAGCTGGAGGCTTCAGATCGTGGGACCTGGGACAGGGCAGAGCAGAGGGAGAAGTCAGGTTCTTACACTAAGAATGACCCCAGCCAGGGAGGGAGATAGGCAGACAAGAACCCTGGAGCTCCAGAGAGGAAGCTCCTAAGAGGCTCTGTGGGATGCTGAGGGTGTTGGTATCATATAAATAAGAAATCAGAGAATCCTCGCTCTTAGGATACTGACGTAGGAGGATTGCCTTGAGTTTGAGAATAGCCTGGGCTACACAAGACCCTGTCTCAAACTACACCCTCAAGGCCAGGTGTGGTGGCGCACACTTGTAATCCCAGCACTTGGGAGGCAGGAGGATTGCTGGCAAATTTGGGACAGCCTAGGCTACAAAGTGAGCTCAAGTCCAGCCTGTAAAGAAAATCAAAACACTCCCTCAAGGAAAAAAAAAAAATCAGGGAAAAATTTTGTTTTCACACTTACATTCTCTGCCCTTTGTTAAAAAATAAAATAAAAATTATTTGAGACAGCGTCTCCCTAGATCACTGATTTGCACCAGCTGGACTTGAATTCGTGCTCCTTCAGCCTCAGCCTCCCTGAATGCCGGGATTACCGGCACATGCATCACCACGCCCAGGGAGGCCTCTTAGACGTATCAGATAACTGGGACTCGGCAGGCTAGAAGGATGTCGGTCTTGGCAGAGGCCAAGCGCAGCCCTGAGGCTGGAAATCCCCAGAGGAGGATTCGCCTAAGAGAGGAGTTCTGTGTGGAAATCATGCTTTTCATGTGTGCAGGAAGTGACAGGATTACAGCGCAGGGCACACAAATCCATGCTGGGTACCAGGTGTGGGGAAGGGGCGGGACCGGCCGGGGCAGGCAGGCTGCAGGTTGTGAGGTGGCTGCAGGGGCCGGGCAGGATGGGGATCGCGGCAGAGACGGGGTTCTGGGGCAGGGGCCGTCCCGAACCTGCCGCTGCGTCTCCAGATCTGCCTTGTTCCCAACCAGCACGACAGGGAAGTCGTCGCGGTCCTTGACTCGGAGGATCTGCGTGAAAAGCTTGCCCACCTCGTTGAAGCTGTGACACAGGCCACAGGCATGAGGGCCGGCCAGCCGCGGGCCCCCACGCCCCCACGCCCCGCACGCCCCGCCGCCCCACCTCTCACCTCTGCCGGTCGTTAATGGCGAACACCAGCAGGAAACCATGGCCTGCACGCATGTACTGCTCCCGCATGGCCCCGAACTCCTCCTGGCCTGCGGTGTCCAGGACTGGGGAGAAAGGGGGCCAAGCCCCCTTCAAGGACACCCGAAAGCCCTCAGTGCCCAGCCCCCGCCAGCCTGTTCCCCTGTGACTCACTGTCCAGCCGGGCTGGGGTGCCATCCACAGTGCAGATCTTCGTGTAGGAGTCCTCGATGGTGGGGTCGTAGTCAGACACAAAGTAGGACTGGAAGGGTGGGGAGAGCCCACTGTTAGGGGTCGATGAACTTGAGCTCTCGGGTGCCCTGACCCTTTTTCTTTTTAAAATTTATTATTATTATTATTATGAATGTATTTGCTTGTTGCAGGGTCTCGCAGCTCGGAGGTCCCACTATGTAGTTCAGCTGGCCTGGAATTCACTTTGTAGTCCAGGCTGGCCTTGAACTTGCTGTCAGCCTCCCAAGTGCTGGGATTGCTGCCATACACCACCAGGCCCAGCTCTTGTTTTTTTTCTATTTACTTATTTATTTATTTATATTTATGTATTTGGTAGCGCTGGGATTACAGGTGTGTGCCACTCAGTGCTGGCGCCACATGTGGTGCAAGGGATTGAAACCTGGTCTCTGCTTGTCTAAGCAGGCGTCTAGTCCACTGAGCTATCTCACTGGCCCTTCTTGGTCTTTTCTTGAAGTCCTTGGCCCATTGCTTGCTTCCTTATGCTCTCTCCGTTAAGTCTCTATTTCTTTCTTTCTTTTTTTGGTGGAACCGGGGATTGAACTCAGGCGCTTGCCAGGCAAGTGCTTATTCCACTGAGCTATCTCCCCGGCCCCAAGTTTCTATTTCTTCTGCTCTGGGTCTCTGTCATTCTCTCTTGGGATACCTGTCCCCCTTCCCCAGTGCCCTCTCTCTGAAGTTCTCCTGGTCCTCTCTCCAGATAAAAGTCTCTTTCCCTTATCATGATGACATCCTGGCTGTGTGACATTGAACAAAATCACTTCCCTTGTCGGCCTCAGTTTTCTCATTTGGAAAATAAGAATAACACCACACCCATCCAGCATTGTGACATTCTGGGGAACCCCTTGCTAAACGTTTAGCATCACTGGGCACATAGTAAACGCTCAGCTATTGGGAGCTGCTGTCATCTCAAGAGTGCCTGGTTCTGTGTTTCCCTCTGCGGCCTCCTCCCCATCTCTTTCCTCCTCCACTTCCCCTCCTCCTCCTCTAGGCAGCCTTCAAGCTTCTCCCTAGGGAAGCTCCCAGTTCCAATCCGGCTGCAAGAGGCTGCCCCACCCTCTGCCCCGGCCCCTCCCTTCCTGCCAAATCCAGCGCCTGCAGCCCGGCCTCAGGCCAGCTCTGAGTGCCAGGGGCCCAGGGCTGGTGCCTCCTTCTGCACCGGCAGGGCTTGGGTATGGGAACTGTTTCCACAGGCGGCAGGCTAGAGGGAGGCTTCTTTTTTCTTTTCTTTCTTTTTTTAGGTTTCTTGCATGGAGGATATCGGGTTTGAGGGGCTGTAGGCAGCAGAGAAAGATTGACTTTGGGCTGGAGATCTGCATCTCATTAGTTGGGTGGTTGGTGAGGACTTCCCTAAGGGGAAGGTGCAGGGGCAGAGGTCCTCTGAATACATTTGGAGAAGCTCAAGGGTGAAGATGGGGACCAGCATAGGGATACCTCAGGGTACTTGGAGGCTGTCATACAATGGTCTTAGATACTCTGAGATGCATTTTTAGAGATTCAGATCCACTTCTCAAGGAGTGGATCTTTCTGGGAGTATGCATGATCTGGGAGCTTCTTTCATGGAGATGATTTAGGGGTTACTCAAGGTTTCTGAGACAAGTCAGGGAGCTGGAGGGAAGCAGAACTCAGGATGGAGGAGTGGTTGGTTTTCCTTAGGGGTAGGATGGGAGGGAGGATCTGAGTCTGGATTGGGGGTATCTCTAGATCTTGGGGTCCTGGAGTTTTCTTGAAGGCCAAGGGGGAGGATTTTTTTGAAGTCTCTTGGATGCCAGGGGAAATCCTCAGCCAAAGACTAAGCAAAATTTCTAGATTCTGAGCCTCCCTGAGGGGCCAAGATTTCCACTGGGTGATGAGAAAGGTGCCGGCACAGCTGTTAGCCAGGTGAGGGGTCAAGATAAGGCTCAGCGTGGAGGGGTTGGTAGCCCCAGGGATTGCTCAGGGTCTCAATAGGACAACTGTTTGGTATTTAGGGAGCTTTCAAAAGGCACTCGGCCAAGTCAGTAGCTGACCTCAGAGAGACCTCAGGTCTCAGGATGTATGCAGTCGAAGGTCCTGCGTGCAAGGGGTGGAGGCCCTCCCAGAGTTTAGAGTCGCAAAATCGGGGATCTTTGAAAATTAAAGAGCTTCGTGGGAAGTTTTCAGTAATGGGTCAAGGCGCAATGGGATTCTCAGGGATCCCCAACAGGGCTCAGGTCTGGGTCTCAGGGCCACCTTCCCGGTTGGGGGCACTCTACCTGGATGAACTGGATAGTCAGCGCGCTCTTGCCCACGCCGCCGCCGCCCACGACCACCAGCTTGTGAGTCTCGCTGGGCGGGGGGTCCCCGGGTCCAGGTCCCCCGCCCCTGGGCCGCCCCCGCCCAGTCCTGGACGCCGCCCCGCTGCTCATGTCGCCACCGCTGCCGCCGCCTCTGCTACAGCTGGGGGGAACCGGGCGGGACCCAGAGGCGGGCTACGCTAATGAGGCTACTGCATAATCATGAGGTCTTGCCAGAAGGACTTGGGTCTCGGACACTTAAGGAGTGGGGAAGGCCATGGAAAGGGAGGAGCTATGCTAATAAGGGTAGGGAACGAAGTTTGCGGGAAGGGGGATTCCGAGTAGGGCGGAGTTATGCTAATAAAGACCTGTGCTCATCCTGAGCGGTGCCACGCGCTTTCAGCTGGCAGGCGGTCTGTGGGCGGAGCTATGCTAATAAGTGTGTATTCTTTTGGCAGATGGGCGGGAAGCTTTTTTCCGGGGGTGGGTCTATGCAAATAGACCCTGCGACAGCTTCTTGGAGGACCAAGCTCTAAGTCTTATTCTGGCAGACGGGGCTTGCCGTCTTGCGAGCAGCCGTATATAGGGCGTTCTGTGGAAGGACCTGTCTCGAGAAGTTCCATCTCCTTACTGGGGGTCGTAGCCAAGCTCTCGAACCGTCTGAGCAAGAAGCCGGAGTCTCCGCCCGCCTCCGCCCGCTCGGAGGACCCAGGCTTCCGGTTCCCGCTGTCCCAGCCAAACGGAAGACAGACTGGGAGGAGAGATGGGGCCCTGGAGGGGGACAGCAGAGTAACGGGACAGGGAGGGGCCGTGAGATCACTGCATTCCTAATCCATGAGCCAGCTTGCCCTAGTCGGGACGTTCGGGTCATGAAGGGCCCGGGGCCAAGATTTCTGGGGTTTGAAGGAGGAAGCTGTGAGCCTAGATACTTGGGTCCCTAGGAAAAAATACGGTTGGAGACTTGGGGCCCTGAATCCTGGGGAAGACGCGGGGCTCGGGGGAGGCCTTGTAACCCATAAAGTGTGAGCTTCACACTTGGATAGTTTGAGGAACAAGCGGCCTGCGGACAACTCAGGTCCAAAGAAAAAGGACTGAGACCTCGAGTCCTTGGGACGAAGGACTTCTCTGCCCTGAACGAAAAGGTTGCGATGTACAGTTCTCCTGTTCTAGAGTGGACCCGGGGGTCTGGATTCTGAAATATCCAGAATATGGGCGGGGCAATGGCCAGCCAGGCCGGCTCACTCCACCAAACTACAATTCCCTTGCCTCTGTTCGGCTGAACGCCTTTATACATCACTTCCTATTCCGCCGCCCTTTCCCCGCGCGTGCAAGGCATTGTGGGGCTTCACCGCGGGCTGTAGCAACTCCGCCCACTTAACCTCTCACTAGCTCGCTGTCCCCGCGCGGCTGAGGCGGTACGCAGACTACGCCTCCCGGCATGCACGGCGAGCACCCCGCCCCATATGCCCCATTGACTCCTGGGAAATCGAGTCTTCTCACCTCCCAGCCAGCCTTTAGTACACCGTGCTCCGTACTTGAAATCCCGGCAAGCTCGGCGGCACTTTAGCTCCGCCCCACTTCTCTGCCCGCGGGCCCCGCCCCGTTCCGCCCCGCCCCGCGCCGGGGCTGGAGCCGCAGCCCGAGCGGCGGGGTAAGATGGCGGCGGCGGTCCGGGCCGCGGGGCTCGGGCCTATGGGGGTGGGCGGGGCGGAGTCGGGTCGCTAGTTGTCCCTGGGTACCCCCCCACACGCCAGGGGGCCTGGAGGGCTTAACGGGCCAGTCTCGGGCCCGGCAGTGGGGGTGAAGTCTGGCGCCAAACGAGGGGCCTTCGTAGGGCCCCGGAACGCATCTGTGGGTTCTAGGGGGCGTCTACGGCGTCCCTGAGCGGACTGGGGTTGTCCAGAGGGCCTGGACTGAGCCTAGAGTCTGGCCTCCATCTCATAGCTGACCTGGAACGTGTCAGTAGGCGCTGTGGATCGTCTCTATGGGCCCACCGGAGGCTAGACTCTGTTTAGAGGATTTTGGGGCCATCTTGCGATCTTGAGCCGTGTCCCAGGGGTGAAGGAGGTCTGCAAGAACTGAGGAGTGTCTGCAGAGCCGCCTAAGAGTGCTGGGGTACGTCTGTGAGTGCTGGGAAGTGTCTACATGGGGTGGCCTGTGGTTGCCGCTGGACTGCATAGGTCTGGAGCTGTTTCGTGGGCCTGGGTGAACTGTTCAAGGGTTAGGAGGTCTTTCAGGGCCACTTTAGGGGAATGAGATGTGCCTCCCAAAAGTGTCGGGGGGGCAGTACTGTGCAGTAGGTAGGTCTGTAGGACCTAGGAAGGTCTGATGTGGGTGACAGGAGGCTGGGGATAGTTAGAAGGACCTGGAGCCATCTGGGTGGATTAGTTGTGATTGCAAGGATGCCTGGAGCAGATTCGAATCCTTTTGAGGGTTAGAGAAGTGTGGAGAATAACACAAAAAGAGAATGTTGGCAATTTTGCCCATCTCAGATGTACTTTCTCTTTAGAAAGTACTTCAAATGTAAATTGCTTTAAAATCCTTCCTCATCCTGGGGCTAGAGAGAGAATTAACCCACCTATGTCTGAGGGGGGTCTGTACTTTTCTGACCTTGGAAGAAATACATATTTGAAGCCCAGTATATATGATTTTAACTAATACTCAGGTCCCAGAAATTGATATTTCCACATAACTTATGAAGAACTGTGAATAATTTGATTACATCCTATATACTTTTTGTAGTTAACTATTTATGAAGCTCTACGCTGTCCCCAGACCTGGGAGTTTGGACATCACTGATCTAGAGGGTCCTGGCAGGGTCAACAGGCTGTCTACAAGAGCTGAGGAGCTGAGGGCATCTTCCTGTGCCGCAGTGGGTTTGGGGCTCTTGAAGGTTGTGTCAGGACTTGACCAAGCTTCTGATCCTAGACAGTCACTATGCAAAGTAAGCACTTCCCAGAAGGTGCTGAAGAGCAGCCTCAGGCAGGGGAGCTCTCTGCAGGCCTGAGGCTATTGAGTATTAGTTGGAGAAGCCAGGGTGTAGCAGACCATTAGGTTGGGCCAGGTCTGCAGGGATTTAGGGAAGGGGCTGGAAGGTTTAGAGACCTGGGAGGCTGATTGTGTATGTGGAAGCTTGGGCGCTGTCTTCGAAACTTGTGCTAGAATAGAGACCAGGGCCAGTTCTTTCTTTGCTAATGTGCAGCAGGAAGGTGGGGGAGAGAGAGGGGAAACCAGAATATTAAGGACTAGTAATACAGTGACTAATAGTACAGGCTCAGCCATTCTCTAGATAGATACAATTTGCTGCTTATAGAGAAATACAGGAAATTTGAAACTTGCAAGGAATTTAGAGATTATGTATTGTTTTCTCATTAGCAAATTTGACAGTTGTGGAAACTTGCACCTGTAATATCGCTAGTTTCTGAAGGCCTTATCCAAACATCCACCGCTGTGCAACATGCTCTCCATTGCCTGATTGGGTGCTCAAACCAGAGAATTTCTGCAGCATCACCCAGGGTGTGGTCACATATCCACAGGACACACAGTAAGGTGACAGGCAGGAGTGCCCCCCAGGTTTGGGGGACAGCATATCTTTCTGAAATTTAGTGTTTTTGTGTTAAAAGTGGCATAGGGGCTCTGCAGACCACTGTCATGCTTCCATCTTTTGTGTATACAAAGAAACATTCTTTGGTTCCTTGTTATCGAGGATGATGATTGATGCCCTATGGAGCCGTGTGGTACCTGGCATTAAATGCCAGCCAGCACATACCTCAGCTTGGCCAGGCAGAGTGTATGGACTGTGGAACATGCTTTGAAATCACAACATAAAATAAAAACATCACAAGGTTGGGTTTGTATTCTCTAATGGAGAGGAGTGAGGCCTATGGGGCCTGATGGGAACTGGAGAGCAAGATGCTGAAATAGGTGGCAGAGGAGGCTGAAATCCAGACAAAGGAAGAAAAGTGCTCTGGTCCCTGTGGCCCACACTGGCCCAAGGACAAGGCGGGCTGGGATGAGGCAGGGTGGGTGCTGATGAGGGTGCCACCAGACAGTGTCAGAGGCCCATCCACCTGCTCCTGTCGCTGCCCCAGCCTATGCTCCCAACTGTCCCCTCCCTGACCAGGACACCATGGAGGAAGAAGATGAGTCTCGAGGGAAGACAGAGGAGTCAGGCGAGGACCGGGGTGATGGGCCACCTGACAGAGACCCCACACTCTCTCCTTCTGCTTTTATCCTGGTGAGGCTGCTGGATGCCTGGGCTGAGGGAGGAAGAGAGACTGGGTCCACATTTCGGACCATGTCTTTTACGCCCCAGGGGAAGAGGCTGAGGCCTTGGCCTAGCTACAGGGGTGTCAAGAATACTCATCTCACAGGGAGCAGAGATTGCGTGGTCTCTTTTGCTAGCATGCCTGACTCTTGGTTCATTCCACCCTTTTGCTGCAGCGTGCCATACAGCAGGCTGTGGGAAGCTCGCTGCAGGCAGATCTGCCAAGTGATAAAGGTACGGTGAGTTGTGCTGCTTTTGGTCCTTTGCTCCTTTTCTGCATTCCTTACCCTCACCTTGTTCATGCCTTCTGTGGTCACAGGGACCCAAACATGGTCCAGCCCCATGGCTGCCTGTGAAGAGCAAGATGCTCCTCAGGAGGGCTGGGGAGATCGCTCAGTAGAATAGGCGCTTGCCTGGCAAGCACAAGGGCATGAGTTCAATTCCCAGTTCCACAAAAAATAAATAAATAAATAAATTTAAGGGGCCAGGAGATAGCTCAGTAGAATAAGCGCTTCCCTGGCAAGCGCAAGGCCCTGAGTTCAATCCCCGATCCCACCAAAAAAAAAAAAAAAAAAAAAAAAGATGCTCCTCAGGGAGTCTAGAGGGTGTAGGTGGTCGGTGGCTGCCTAGCAGGGTTACGGAGAGCCTGGCTCTCCATGGACACATGAGCCTTGTCTGATGGGTAGAAGTCTACAGGGTCAGGGACTAGGCTGTGGCACAGGCCTGCCCTGGGGGCAGTGTGTGACTCGTTGGGGCTGGTTTGCAGGGTGGTGGGGCACCTGAGAGAAGCAGGAAAGGTCTGTGGGGACCAAGTCTCAGCAGGCCTTGAATACTGGGCTGAAATGTGGGGACTTCATCCTGGGGGTGGATGGGAGAATGAATGGGGGAGAGTGAGCCCATAATGGGGTCTTGGGAAGCCCGTGGGGCCTGAATCAGGAGGTGATGTGTGGTTCCAGCGTCAAGCAGGGACCAGGCCCCTCTTTCCTGTCCCCATGAGCTCATCCAGTCCTCTGTCTTAAAGTCTACCACGCAAATCTCTCTCTCCAGATGGCTCTCGGTGTCATGGCGTTCGGTGGAGGCGCTGCCGGAGTCCACGGTCAGAGCCCCGTCCCCACGAATCAGGGGGTGCTGACACAGCTACTGTGAGTAAGACGAACTGGGCGGTGACACCTCTGGGTCTGGAGGAGGAGGGGCTTGGGGGACCCATCTGGGCCTCAGAGGGGACTGTATTGGGAGTCTGAGCCAGGCTATAAACCCTGAAGGGAAGAGCTTGGTCCCTGCGTTTTTTCCAGGGGCTCAGTGTGTGGCTTGAACCGGGGATGGAACTCAGACCCTTGTGCTTGCCAGGGAAGCACTTATTTTACTGAACCATCTCCCCAGCCCCTCAGGGAGGTGTTATTCTCGAGTCCTCACAGTGTGGCACCCTTGTTCTACTGTAGGTGCTGGACCTGGCCGCTGACAGCTTCCTTGCAGGGCTGATGACTGTCCTGGACCCCCCAGATACCTGGGTTCCCAGCCCTCTGGATCTGCGGCCCGGCGAGTGAGGAGCTGGGGGGTGGAGCAAGGGCTTCCCTAGCCCAGAGAGCTGTTGCCCTGGCCCCACTCCCCAGGCTCACCCTTTCCCCTCTATCTTGCAGAAGCGAGGACATGCTGGAGCTGGTAGCTGAGGTCCGGATTGGAGACAGGGATCCCATTCCTCTTCCTGTGCCCAGCCTGCTGCCCCGTCTCAGGGCCTGGAGGACGGGCAAAACGGGTATGTGGGGCTGGTGGAGCCAGGCAGGTGACCTTTGAGTGGTATGAGAGGTGGCTGCCACTGTTACAGCAGTGACAGTGGTTGGGATTGCATTGCATATCAAATATGTTTCTGCAATTAGGCTGCTGTAAAGCCTTGTGTGTGCGGACATACATAGTAAAACTAACGTGATAAGGCCTTGTAGGGTTAGCACATAGTGGCCAGGGCTGTGTAGTGTCACTGCACCCGGAATTCATGACCCCTGGAGGGGGACCTCCATTGTTTCCATCTTCCAGAGGAGTGAGAGGAGTCTGGAAGTGGGAAGTCATTCGCTAGAGATTGTGCAGCCAGTGCTAGTGGTGGCCCTGGGCCTGGCGCTGCAGTGTGTTTGTATGTACAACCCAAGTGGGCAGTTGATTGCTTTGATGTGCATTGTGCCAGTAGGCATCCGCTCCGCGTACCCTGGGCCCTCAGTAATGCCTCTGGCCCTGTGGTTCTCAAGTCTGCACTCTGAATTATTTGCAAATGTGTGGATCTCTGCGCCCACTCTTACAGGGCAGCAGGGGTGTGGGGTAGAGTAGGGAATTTGCTTTCTGTTTGTGTGGTTTTGCGGATTGAACCCAGGGCCTTTGCTCTGAGCTGCATTTTATTATTACTATTTTTATTTATTTATTTATTTTATTTTTTTGCAGAACAGGATTGAACTCAGGCCCTTGTGCTTGCCAGGCAAGCGCTTATTCTACTAAGCCATCTCCCCGGCCCGCATTTTATTATTTTGACCAGGGTTCTGGTAAATTGTTTAGGCTGGATTCTCAGCCTTGTGGAAGGCTTGGGGTTAGGGGTGTGCACCACCATACCCGTCTGGGAATTGGCATTTCTGTGAAACATACTACTGATTGCCAGGACTCCCATGAGTTTAGATCCCTTCTCTGTGTACATACAGGCTGGGAAGGGGAGTGGAGAGGAAGATTTGTTTGGCTTGGGTGTGGCTGCTTTGGCCTTGACTTCCCTTGGAAAGCCTGGCTTGCACACCTTCATGCGTCAGGGCAGGCTAATTTTGTGCCATTTTATTTTACTATGTTTTTTTTTATTTCTCACTACATATCCCACACTGGCTTCAAACTCATAGTGATGTTCCTGCCTCAGCCTTCTGAGTACTAGGATTATTGCTCTGGGGGCATCATGGCTGGTTGTGCCTGCTTATTTTTAACAGCTATGAGTCAGCTTATTCATTAGTTATAGGAGATATGGTGATTAGGACCCACAAAAGTGTTTTTTTTTTGTTTCCCCCCCCCCCCATATTTAGGACAGGGTCTGTGGAGTCTCACTATATAGATCGGACTCGTAATTTTCCTGTTTTCAGCCTCCCAAGTGCTGGGATTACAGGCATGCGCCACCAGGCCTAGTCTCAGTCACTGTCTCAGTGCACCCCACAGGCAGAGCTGGCATGGTATGCAGCGATGGAATCCCTGGTCCCTGAGCCTGCCTAAGCAGGTGCTTTCGTCTGCTGAACTATCAGACCAGCCCTCAAAATTGCTTTAAAATTTCTCTTAAAGAGTCCATAAGTAGGGGCCGGGGAGATGGCTCAGTAGGATAAGCGCTTGACTGGCAAACGCAAGGATCTGAGTTCAAGCCCCGGTTCCGCAAAAAAAAAAAAAAAAAGAGTCCATAAGTAAACAAATGGGTAGGCAATGTTCCAATAAAACTTTATTTACAAAATGGAATGAATAGGGCTAGGGAGATGGCTCAGTGGAATAAGCACTTCCTTGGCAAGCACAACAGCCAGAGTTCAATCCCCGGTTCCACAAAAACAACAACAAAATACCCAACTTGTTTAGGGCCGGGGAGATGGCTCAGTGGAGTAAGCGCTTCCCAGGCAAGCGCAAGGGTCTGAGTTCAATCCCCGGTTCCGCCAAAAAATAAAAAATAAATAAAATAAATTGAATGAATAACAGCTTTGGCCCCAGGCTGTAGAGTGATATAGAAGTATCTGGAACCTAATAGTTACATTAGGGTGACTCTGGGCTTATCCTTTTTTTTTGGCTTTTTGAGACAGGGGCTCCCTATGTAGTATAGGCTGGTCTTGAACTTACTATGTAACGTAGCCACAGGCAGGCCTCAAACTTGGGGTGATCCTCCAGCCTCAGCTTCTCGAATGCTGGGTACAAAACCCAGCTTATTTAAGTTCCTTTTTTTTTTTTTTATGAGCAGAATATATTTATTGAGAGAAAGAAAGCTCCTGTCCGGAGAGAGGGACAGGAGGGGGGCCCGAGCAGGTAGTTCCTCCCTTTCCATTTTTTTATTATGCATTTTTTGTAGTGCTGGGAATCAGGCCCAAGGCCTGTGCATGTTAGGCAAGACCTCTACCACTGAGCAACATTCCATTTCTTTTGCTTAGTTTTGTTTGAGGTGAAGTCTCATTATGTTGCCTAGACTGTGCTTCAATTCCTGGGCTCAAAATACCCTCCTGCTCAGCCTTCCATGTAGCAGCCATTACGAGTGTGTGCCACCGTGCTCAGCCCTAGCCCTGCTTTTCTCATTCCAGATGGTTGTCTTTTTCCTTTGGAAAATATTAAGACCTAAGGAAAAAGAAAAGGCACCCATAATCCTATCTATAGAAAAAACATTTGGAAAAGGACTATCCTGCCGTCCGTAGGCCGAGGCAGAAAGGTGGAGCCACTTACCCATGGCCTCCTTACTGGTGAGGGCTGGGACCTGGGATCTAATTGGGCTGTGGCTATGGGAGTTGCCGTAGGGTGCCTCACTGCTTCCTGCCACCATGCCTGCCCAGCCATGCTGGCACCCTTGTCAAGGGGACCCTGGCACGTGTGCTTGCACATATGGCCAGTTCTGGCTCAGATCCTCCTCATGGCAAGACCTCAGTCATCTACCTCTGCTTGTGTAGCAGGCACCAAGAATATAGTACTCCAGGCAGTGGGGGCCAACCTAGGAGCGAGCTACAGAGGAGACCACAGTCAGGCTCTGTCCTTGCCATCGCTGAGCAGGCACGGCCCTGTGGGAGGGGGCTGCAAGGATGAACACCCCCAACCTAAGCCTCACATTCTTTGTGCAAAATGGGAGGAACCACAGCAAGTGGTGGACTTGGGTCTGAACCTGGGCCCTCCTCCCTAAGTCTGCCTTGGTGACATCACTGCCCTTGGTTGGGGCAGTTCTTGGGCTTCAGGGCCTGGGGGTCTGGACATGGGGTGCGAGCCGTGGTCACATTGGCCTGACTGCTCCCTGCCTCCTGTGTCTGACAGGTCACAGGCCTTCCCGATGGCGCACACAGCACACAGCCTGTGGGTGGTCAAGGGAGGCCCCCACACTGGGGGACAGTGAGGGTCGAGCGGGCCCTGACTGCATCTCTGTGTCCCTGTTCCTTTGCAGTTTCTCCACAGTCTCACTCTTCCCCACCCACCTGTGCCCGCCACCTCCTCACCTTGGGCACAGGAGATGGGGGCCCTGCCCCACCCCCGGCACCCTCCTCTGCCTCCTCCTCCCCTTCCCCATCTCCCTCTTCTTCCTCCCCTTCCCCTCCTCCACCCCCTCCACCCCCTGCTCCCCCAGCCCAACCTGCCCCCCGATTCGACATCTATGACCCCTTCCACCCCACGGACGAGGCCTACTCCCCACCCCCTGCTCCGGAGCAAAAGTACGACCCTTTTGAGCCCACTGGCTCCAACCCCAGCTCCTCCGCGGGGACACCCTCTCCAGAGGAGGAAGAGGAGGAAGAAGATGAGGAGGAGGAGGAAGGCCTGTCACAGAGCATCAGCCGCATCTCGGAGACTCTGGCGGGCATCTATGACGACAACAGCCTGAGCCAGGACTTCCCAGGTGACGACAGCCCGCGCCCGGACCCCCAGCCCACTCAGCCCGGGCCCACCCCGGGAACACCGCCCCAGGCTGACTCCACGCGGGCCGAGGCAGCCACTCGCCGGCGCGTCTTCGTGGTGGGGGCTGAGGCGGAGGCCTGTCGGGAAGGCAAGGTGTCCGTGGAGGTGGTCACCGCCGGTGGAGCTGCTCTCCCGCCGCCTTTGCTTCCCCCTCCCGACTCAGAGATTGAGGAGGGTGAGATTGTGCAGCCAGAGGAGGAGCCCCGGGTGGCTGTGTCCCTGTTCCGGGGCAGCAGAGCTGCCCGGCAGCCCCCTGCCTCGGTAGCAGCCCCAGCGCCTCAGCCTGTCCCACAGACCCCGGCGGCCCGGGCCCCGGAGGGCGACGACTTCCTGTCGCTTCATGCCGAGTCAGACGGTGAGGGTGCGCTGCAGGTGGACCTGGGCGACCCGGCGCCCGCGCCTCCCACCGCTGACACTCGCTGGGGCGGCCTGGACCTACGCCGAAAGATCCTCACGCAACGGCGGGAGCGGTATCGCCAGCGCTCGCCGTCCCCAGCCACCGCCCCTGCCACTGCCACGGCCTCTGCAGCCACGGGCCCGCCCACGCGCAAGAAGTCGAGGCGGGAGCGCAAGCGGAGTGGCGGGGAGCCCAAGGAGGCCTCTTCGTCCTCGTCCGCACAGCCGGCTCCGCCTGCTCCTGCCTCACCCTGGGACTCCAAGAAGCACCGCTCCCGTGACCACAAGCCCAGCTCCCACACCTCATCCTCTGCTCGCCGCCGCTCCCGATCTCGCTCCCGCTCCCGCTCTGCCCGCCGCCGCTCACGCAGCTCCGACCGCCGCCGTGGGAGCAGCCGCAGGTCCAGGTCTCGGGAGAAGCGGCGGCGGCGGCGGCGTTCAGCCTCCCCACCTCCGGCCACTTCATCATCCTCGTCCTCCAGGCGCGAGCGGCACCGTGGCAAACACCGTGATGGTGGTAGCAGCAAGAAGAAGAAGAAGCGATCGCGGTCCAGGGGCGAGAAGCGAGCAGGGGACACAGGGGACAAGGCCCCCGTACCTGTGCCACAGCCCTCTGGCTCCTCTGCTGGTGTCGAGCGGGATAGTCGCCGCCGGGGCGCCGTCCCACCCTCCATACAGGACCTCACGGACCACGATCTGTTCGCCATCAAGCGGACCATCACCGTGGGCCGGCTTGACAAGTCGGACCCCCGAGGACCCTCCCCGGTGCCCGCCACCTCCCCCAAGCGTGAGGTCCTATACGACTCAGAGGGCCTAAGTGGGGAGGAGCGTGGGGGCAAGAGTGGCGAAAAGGACCGCAGGCGCTCAGGGGCTGCTTCCTCCTCTTCCTCCTCCCGGGAGAAGGGCTCTCGGAGGAAGGCCTTGGATGGGGGGGACCGGGATCGGGACAGGGACAGGGACAGGTCCTCCAAGAAGGCCCGGCCTTCCAAGGAGTCAGCACCTTCCTCAGGGCCCCCGCCAAAGCCACCAGTCAGCAGCGGCTCAGGCTCTTCGTCGTCCTCATCGTCCTGTTCCTCCCGGAAGGTGAAACTGCAGTCCAAGGTAGCAGTGCTCATCCGAGAGGGTGTCAGCAGTACCACCCCAGCCAAGGATTCTGCCTCTGCTGGCCTGGGCTCTATCGGGGTCAAGTTTAGCCGCGATCGAGAGAGCCGCTCTCCCTTCCTTAAGCCTGATGAACGGGCTCCCACCGAACCGGCCAAGGCTGCACCAGGCAGCACCAAGCCCAAAAAGACCAAGGTCAAGGCCAAGGCCGGGGCCAAGAAAGCCAAGGGGACCAAGGGAAAGACCAAGCCATCTAAGACCAGGAAAAAGATCCGTGGTGGGGGTAGCAGTGGGAGCAGCAGTGGTCCGGTGTTGCTGAAGAAGTCAAAGGCAGACAGCTGCAGCCAGGCAGCAGGAGCCAAAGGGGCTGAGGAGACTTCTTGGTCTGGAGAGGAGCGGGCTGCCAAGGCCCCTAGTACCCCACCCCCCAAGGCAGCCCCTCCGCCCCCAGCACTCACCCCAGACTCACAGACTGTGGACAGTAGCTGCAAGACCCCTGAGGTCTCCTTCTTGCCTGAGGAGGCTGCTGAGGATGCTGGGGTCCGAGGTGGTGCGGAGGAGGAGGAGGAAGATGAGGAGGAGGAGGAGGAAGAGGAGGAGCAGCAGCAGCCTGCCACCACTACAGCCACCAGCACAGCTCCCGCCGCCCCGAGCACTGCACCCAGTGCAGGGTCCACAGCTGGAGACTCAGGGGCAGAGGATGGGCCAGCAACCCGAGTCTCCCAGCTGCCCACACTGCCCCCGCCTATGCCCTGGAATCTGCCAGCTGGTGTGGACTGTACCACCAGTGGTGTCCTGGCCTGTGAGTGCCCCTGGGGTGGTGCTGATGAGGCAGGACCAGGAGGATGGGGATGGGAAGGAGTAGGGGTCCTCTGAAGGGAAATACATAGTGACAGGGTGGTCCACTTAGGTCCTCTTGTAGGTCCTGTAGGTGTCCCGGGTCCAAACAGCTGTTGGCCAGCACAGTAACATGGTGCTAGGACCTACCAAGAGCCAGACTTGAAGGGAGCAAAAAGCATGGGTGGAGCAGGGCTCTGTCCTTTAGGAGATGGTGTAGCTTGTCAGACCTCACAGGAAGGGGCAGAGGCTGAGACTGAACACAGGTGGGAGGGGGACAAAATCCCAAGACCTGCCACCATCTTGTTCCTCAGTGACTCTGGTGTCATACCTCCATTCTCTGGCACTATTACACACCTCGAGTCATAAGGACACGTAGGGGACAAGGTGATTCTTTATCCTGTTCAGAGCATGAGGCTCCAAGGCCTGGCTAGAGTGGGAGATGGTAGCAGGACCTGGGCCAGTGCTTCTTGTCACCTCCTGTTCTCACTTCTCTGCCTCCTGTAGTGACTGCACTTCTCTTCAAGATGGAAGAGGCCAATTTGGCCAGCCGAGCAAAGGCCCAGGAGCTGATTCAGGCCACCAACCAGGTGTGCTTTTGTGGGGAAGTCCCCCAAACCCTTTTGTTTATTGTCTTGGGTTAGGAGAGGAACTACAACTCCCAGCAGGCCTTGGGGGCAAGGTATTGGCTAGAAGTGGAGGCTATTGTCCTGGTACTGTAGGGAAGTTAGGGTAGGAACCATGAGGTGCCTTTACTCATTGCCCCCCCCTCTTCCCACAGATCCTCAGCCACCGGAAGCCACCCTCAAGTCTGGGCGTGACTCCAGCTCCTGTGCCCACCTCTCTGGGTTTGCCCCCTGGCCCTTCTAGCTACCTGCTTCCAGGCAGCCTCCCTCTGGGGGGCTGTGGTTCTACCCCACCTACCCCCACTGGGCTGGCTGTTGTGTCTGACAAGAGAGAGGGTAGCAGTAGCTCCGAGGGACGTGGGGACACAGACAAGGTGAGCTGGCCTTGGGAGAGGTGGATAAGTCAGTCATTAGATCATAAGGAACAAACTTCCACCATGATGGATGAATGGGAAAAGAGTGTAGGTTAAGTTTGAGTTTATTCTTTATTTTTTGGTACCGGTAACGGAACTCAGGACTTTGCACTTGCTAGGCAGATGCTGTGCTGCTGAGCTATCTCCCCAGCCAGCTCTCACAGTCTTGATGCAATTCAGGCTGGTCTTGAACTCTAGCTGAAGCTGGCTTTTGAACTCATAGTGATCCTCCACCTTCAGCCTCCCCCAGTCTGGATCACAAGTGGGTGCTACCATGCCTGGTATGTTTGAAAGAAAATGCTGTAGGCCTGTATGTGTGTATAAACACACCCACACATGTACACATACACCTTTCCAGGCATACCTCCATCCATGTACCCCTCAATCACATTGATTTCTCTTCTCTCACTCTGAAAGTGGGAGAGGGTGGTTTTCAAAAGAAAAGGCAAGAACTTCTTCAAAAAAAGGGAGAATGGGGCTGGTGAGATAGCTCAGTGGTCTAAAGCACCTGCTTAGGCAAGTATGCAGGGACCTCGGTTCTATCCCCAGCACCACATGCCATGCCAGCCCCACCCCCAGGGTGGGCTGAGCTGACCATAAAAAAAAAATAAAATAAATAAAGGAAACATTAAAAAAAAAAAAAGGGAGAATGCCTGTGGGCACTTGCAGACTTAATCTTCTGTCCCTGTTGCCTCCCAGCTCCCTTGCAGAGCCAGTGTGTGGCGTGGCCCACCCTTACCTGCCTTGTGGGGGCACCAGAGGAAAAGCACTACAGCCTAGAAGTGCCCCTGGGAGCCTTAGGGACAGGGCCCCAGCACATGCTGCAGGCCTGAGACCCCAGGGACCTCGTAGGAGGACCTGGATCCTCCGTCCTGCGGCCTGGTCTGTTTGCTGCCCTTAGTTTCTTGCTGCCACTCTGGAATGGGTGTCCAGGAGCAGTGCCTTTCCTGGGGCTCTTGTCTTAGAAACCTCCTTCTTGGGCAGGGGAGAGCTCAGTGGCACATAAGCGCTTGCCTGGCAAGTACAAGGTCCTAAGTTCGATTACTGGTATCAAAAAAAAAAAGAAAAGAAAAACCCACTTCCTGTTTGGCAGCTCCACCATAGCTTGGAGGAATGTAGCTGAGGAAGGTCATCGAGGGCCTTGGCTCACTGTATGGCCCGGGGTAGCCTTGAATTTGCCTCAGCCTCCTGAGTGCTGGGATTACAGGCATGTGTCACCACGCCCAGATCATCCCAACTGCTTTTGCAGATTTCCAAGGCAGGAGATGTGATTCCCTGTCCACCGAGTGCCTTGGATGGACTTGTATCTGGTTGTGGCCTACCCTCCCCATGCGTGCTGTCACATTTTTCAGATGAATCAGAGGTTCAGTTGCCCATGGTGGTGGTGAAACAGAACTAGTACCACTGTGCTGTCTCCACAGTGGAGCTCAGACACCTCCTGCGCCCCCTGCCCAAGCACTCCTTAGCCCCACTGTCCACGGGAGCCAGGGCAAGGCTGAAAACCCAGACAGGCGCGGCTGCCCTGCTGTAGAGCCGAGTGGCAGTTTTCTGCTACAGCCAGCAGCCCTCTAAGGTCAGATTTAAAAGTCATGATTCCTGGGCTGATGTTTATCTCCCCACTTGACTGTGAGGGCAGGGCAGGGAACAGATGTCCTGGTCATGGCCTGGAGGTGCCTGCTGAGCCGGGATAACTACAGCAGGCAGTACGCAAGGCAGACTGGAAGCAGGACTTTACCTCCAAGGGTGGCGGGTGTGGGGTGCGGAGGCCAGTAGGCCCTGGGGTGCTGCAGCATCTTTCCGACCTGTCTTTTTCCCACCATGACACCACCAACCAGTATCTGAAGAAGCTGCACACACAAGAGCGGGCGGTGGAGGAGGTGAAACTGGCCATCAAGCCATACTATCAGAAAAAGGACATCACCAAGGAGGAGTACAAGGATATCCTGAGAAAGGCCGTCCACAAGGTGGGGTGTGGGCTGAATAGGGGGCATGTGCATGGGATGTGCAGACAGGGAGGTCAGGCAGAGGCCAAGGTTTTGCCAGTGTCCCTGCGCCTGTGCTGTAGGCACAGAGGAGCCTGTCAGCAAGGGGAACAAGTGGTGGCGTGTGCATTTTACTTAGAGAATGGGCCCCAGTCCCTGGGTGTGCCTGGCAGTCCAAGGTGGAGGTGGCCTGCGTGGTGGTGGTGACTTGGGTGCTCCTGGCTCCCCAGATCTGCCACAGCAAAAGTGGGGAGATCAACCCAGTGAAGGTGAGCAACCTGGTGCGGGCCTACGTCCAGCGCTACCGATACTTCCGCAAGCACGGCCGCAAGCCGGGGGACCCCCCAGGACCACCACGGCCACCCAAGGAGCCAGGGCCCCCAGACAAGGGTGGACCGGGCCTGCCCCTGCCCCCACTCTGAGCCCCTGGCTGCTCCTTCCTCCCCTCGCCTCTGAGATTGCAGACGTATTTATGGCTCCACCTCTCCACTTCCCCCCTGGTCAGTGGAATGATTGGGGGAGTCACTGTGGGGAAGAGGGGGGCCCCCTGCCCTGCCCGAGCCCATCTCCCATGGCCCCAAGCCTGTCTCCATTGCGCCCCTCCTGTTCGTGTCCCTCCCTTCAGTTTCATTAAAGTCTTCATTAAATGTCACCCCAGCCCCATTATTTTAGCCCGCCCATTTCAGAGACAAGACTTGGGAAAGAAACAAGGAGGGTCATAGTAAAGGCCCAGCATGAGGTTGGGAGCTGCCTCATGTTGGGCCCTGCTTTCTTTAATGCAGTCAGTGGTTTGGGGGATCACACAGGACCCCACCAGTAGAGCACAGGAGCTGGTGGTTAGCAGCTATCGATTGGAAGTGTGGGTGGCAGGAGGCAGGGACCCTGAGCCGCCTGATTGGTGCTTTCGGCACTTCAGGCCTCTGAGGCCATGTTTGCTTCAGTTTCCCCAAAATGGGGGGGGGGGTTCTCTATCCCTGTTGTGTTCTTATAAGCAGCCCTGTTATAAGCCTCTGAGGGAAACTGAGGCATATAACAGCAAGGACCATATTGTCAGTCCCTCCTTATCCAGAATTGCGGCCCCACTGGGAGGAGGGAAGGTCACAGTCCCCAGGACAGGCAGGCCTCACATGCCAGAGGCAGCAGAGCCCCGAGCACCGGGCCTGGGCTGGAGTCACCTCTGCCTCTCTTGGGCAGTGTAGCTGGAGTCAGCTCATGGTTTTGAGCTAGGTTTTCTATTTGTGGCTTCTCTAAGCCTCAGTGTCATAGTCTGTGAAATGGGTGGCTGTCACCTCGCCAGGTCCCTGGCAAGAGGGAAACATATAACAAGGCTGGTCCTCCTGGGTTGGGCACCTGAGTTGTGGGAGCTGCAGAGAAGGGTGAATCAAGACCCCGTCGTCAGAACAGCAGCCAGGGGGCCTGCCCCTTAGCTCAGCTCAAGTGGCTGCTTCAACAAAGCAGTCAGGCTCAGGGTGCTGTGGTTCAATCCCCATAACTCAAGCCAGCCAAACCTGCCCTGAAGGCATTCGGAGCCCAAAAAAAAAAAGAGGCTGGGGAGATGGCTCAGTGGAACAAGCGCTTCCCTGGCAAGCACAAAGGCCTGAGTTCAATCCCCGGTTCCACCAAAAAAAGCCAGCTGTGACCGGGCCAGCCTGGGGACACCCAACACCAGACATACCCCTAAGTGCAGCATGGACTGCTTTATTGATGCAAGTGAAAGGCCAGAGCTCAGGCCTCCCGGTGGCTTAGAAATCCATGTCCTCAACCAGGTCCTGCAGGTAGGCCTTGTACTGCTCAGAGGTGAGGGAGAGGGGCTGGCTGTTGGAAATGTGCAAGTCCACAGTGTTCTCCAGTGAGGAGGCCCCTCCTGACCGGGCCATGTTCAACAGGGCCTTGAGGCAAGTGGGAACCACCTGAGGAAGGGCAGAGATGGACCAGTCAGGGAAGACACGTAGCCGCTGTCCACCATGGGAGCAGCCCAGAAGGAAGCCTGAGCAGCATGGCTGCAGGACTACAGTCTTCCCCATTGTCAAAAAATCCCAGGCTGGGCGGTTTGTGGTCGGGACTCCTGGAAGGTCAAACGAACTCTAGGCTGAGGACAGGGTGTGAAGGAACTGCCGATAGCTGACCCTTCCAAGGGTCTAAGGCTTAAGACTATCTTCCGGGCCGGGGAGATGGCTCAGTAGAATAAGCACTTGCCTGGCAAGTGCAAGGGCCTGAGTTCAATCCCCGGTTCCGTCAAAAGAAAAAAAAAAAAATTATATATATATAGATAGATAGATATAGATATATATCTATATATATCTTCTAAGGCTTCTGGGAGTGGTTCCTGTTGTAACCCCAGCCTCCCACTCTTAGGAACCCAGGGCTGTAGGCACCTTGACCATCACAAGCTTCTTGACCCACGGCTGGCTCTGAGGCCACAACTCCCCCAGGCAGAACCAGAGAGTGTAGCGTGGCGAATGTCCGCTTCCTTCCATGAAGGCAATCAGATCTGGGGGTCCAGGACTAGTCAGAGAAGGGGAGAGAGCCCCTCCCCACCCCATGCCTTCAATGCAAGTAGTAACCCCATTTCCACTAACTAATTCCCTTTGTCACCATGGGGGGAGGGGCTGCCCATCTGAAGAGAAGTCCCTGGAATTCTGCTATAAGCTGGTCTTCCTCCTCCTTGGTTCCCACTGCCCTTCTCTTGCGCACCCAGAGCCCCATCTTTCAGAGGGGAACCAGGCCCTGAGGAGGAGAGTCCCACCCCAGGGATCGGTGCAGTTGGGGGAGGGTTTGAGTTTACTGCTCTTAATTCCTTGGAGCTGTGCTGTTCAGGATGTAGACAGTTGCTATATGCAGCCATTTACATTTAAATTATAATTAAACCAGGTGTGGTGGTATATGCTTATAATCCCAGCATGTGAGGCAGGAAGATCACTGCAAGTTTAAGGCCAGCCTAAACTACAAAGGGAGACCCTGTCTCAAAAAAAAAAAAAAGTAACTAACATGAAATAAAGTTTCAAACTTGCTCCTGGGTTGCACTCAGCTCACTGCCTCTAAAGTCAGGGTAGCTAGTGGGTACCATCCAAGACCCACTGGCGTCACTGCAGAGTTCTGCTGGCCAGCAAAGCCCTAAGGGTCTTCTTTCCTGTTAGCTTTTTGGGGGTGTTTGGGAGATGCTGGACAAGTGCCCTCCTGCTGGCTGGACATGTGCTCCAGTAACGCGAGTGGCAGCAGCCAGCTCCCTGGGACCTAGTGCTGGGCCTATGGCTCCCCAGCTGTGCGGTGGCGAGGAGCCAGGTGCTGCCCAGGCGGAGGGCAGGGTCTGAACCCAGTGCCCACACTGCCTGCTCCTAATGCCCTTCACCCAGCCCCTGCTGATTCCCACATGGGGCACTCACCTGTCACAAAGGGCCTTAGGTCAAACACGTCGCTGTCCACATCCTTGGGGACCTCGCCCTTATGCCCATGCTCGCAGTCAGGGAGCAGCTCCTCGCCTATGGCCCAGAATGCATGGCAGTGCCCCCACCGCCGCACACAGAGCCGCTGCCCTGCCTGCCACAGAGCCAGGCCCCCGCCCAGGCTGTCCAGCACACGCCGCACATACTCTGTTACCACCTGGTCTGTCAGGCACATCCCAGGGTCTGGCAGTGTTATTGGCTGTCCAGGCAGTTTTCTGTCACCAGCTTCGGAGCTCACCAGCCGCAGGCCCCCAGGACAGAAGATGGTCTGCTGAAAGGCCTGGTGGCCCCGATAGAAGGCGGTCACCTCGAACTCCCACTCTGAGTGGTGGCAACAGCAGTGGCAGCAACAGCAACAGTGGTGTTTGTGTGAAGGGGAAGAAATTAAGAGACCAGCTGAGGGCCCACTGTGCCCACTGTGCCCCCGCCACCGCACAGCTGGCACTCACGTTCCTCAGGCACCAGCAGCAGCTTCAGTGGGTTTTCAGAAGGTGTTGGGTTTGGACAGAGAATGGGGTTGTCCAAGTTGGGGCTCAAGAGCTGAGGGTACTGCCCTTGGGCCATGTCATCAGGGAGTGGGACCAAGGCCATGTCACTCAGCAGCTCTAAGATATCTTCCTGGAGGAAACAGAGCCAGACATCATCAGCCTGGCCAGAGTCAAGCCTGTGACAGGCTAGAGGGGTGGGAATGGCGAGGATAAGGCCTGAGTGGGGCCACCGGACAGGGCAGAATGGAGAGAGGGCTGCGTGCGCCCTCACCTGGGCATCAGAAGTACTGCCTTCCTCGGTTTCTGGAGAGGTGTCCAGCTGGGAAGAGTCCCTGGCTTCTGTGGATAAGGGGTGAATGAGCACAGTATGGATTCCAGAGCACCCCCCATCCCAAAGCTCCGTGGAAAAGCCTGCTTTGACACACCTGGGTCCACAAACTCGTAAACCTTATGAGGGTCGTGAGGGTCCTTGCTCTGGTCCTCAGCTAAACGCAACACTTCCTTCCGGTTCAGGGCTGATCGGAAATTCCTCTTCCAGGTTGGCAAATCGGGCTTATCCCTCCCGGGAATGTAGGCACCGCTGGCTTCAGCCCAGGCCTGTGGCAACATTAGTACAGGATAGTGAGGAAGACCACATGGACTGCAGCCCGGGGAGCCTGGCCCTGCCTCCTCCAAAGCCAAGGAGCAAATCCACAACACCCACTGCCCATAACCATGGGGTCTCCGCCCCAGCAACCTTTATCCCTGCCCACCTCCAGCTTTCTAAACTCTAGGTTTTGTTTGAGACAGGATCTTGCTATGTATTACAGGCTGGCCTGGAGTTTACAGCAATCCTCCTGGCTCAGCATGTTGAGCCCTGGGAATACAGGGGTGTGTCACCACACCTAGCTCTCTACGTTTTTGTTTTTTTTTATACTCGGAATCAAACTCAGGACCTCGCCCTTGTCCAGTGGATGCTGTGCCACTGAGCTA